ATTGATGTTTTTCTGGTTATGTGGTTTATTGTTGTATTCCAGGATTGCCTAGCAATTCAGGTATATTCACAGCGGAGCTCAGTGCTGTAAAAACCGCCATAGCCCATGCCAAACAATACATAAAGACGTTAATTTGTATCGACAATTTGAGTGTCGCTAAGGCTCTTCAAAAAAACAAAGGAGGAGTTTACACTGATATGGTGAAGATCCCAAACCACTGTGAGATTTTTGTTTTATGGATACCATCACACTCAGGTTTTGAAGGAAATGATTTTGCTGATAAGATGGCAAAAGAAGCACTGGTTATGACTCATATAGCAGAAATCCCCTGCTTTCATTTTACCTTACCACATCTTTATAAAACAAAAAAACGTGCTAATAAATTGATTATGTGGCAATCTTCGTCCACTTTTCTAAGACGAGTTAATCCAACAATTCCTAGAATTAGCTACAATCCTGATTTTTCTAGATCCGATTGCATTTTCCTATCCCGACTCAGGGTTGGTAAATGCTTATTTAACACTCGTTACTATTTTGATAATACAATGCCAGCTCGGTGTTCTTTCTGTGGCGAGCTTCTTACAATTGAACATATTCTATAAAATGTCAATACTCTGCAATCAATTTAGACATCGAAAAAATACTCGATTGTTCCAATAAACAGTTTTTACCCCGAATCCGTTTGGCACTAAATATTCATAATATTCGTGATATCTAATTCAGATCCATACTTGTATATATAGCTAGAATATAACCAATAAGAAATTCATATTATACTACATCGAGCGCATAAGGTCTTAGTTACCCGGCGCCTCCCTTCAATATTTTCTAAATTTACTTTATAAAATATTTTGTAAATAAATAAATAAATAAATGTAAGTGGTTTGCTGAACAACCAAAATAATATTTCATCACTTAGCGATATCAACACCAATATCGAAGTGGTTGCGTAAACGCTGCACTAACAAATCCAACTGGAAATATCGTTCAAATTGAATGAAATAAATTCAACTCTCTTTAAACTCTAATGAAAAAATAAATGTTGTTAAAAGCTATTTTAACAATTCGCGGCCTGAAGGCATAGTATCACTACACATAAAGGCCGCTTTATAAGCATTTATTTTACTGAGATAACATTCTGTGTGTACACTGGCAAATCTAAGTCTAGTCAATTTATAATATCAAATGGATGTCCTCAAGGCTAATATTTATTGTCGCTTTTCTAAAAAATCTACACTGCCGACATTCTTTTAAAATTTGACCCAAGTTTTGGTGTGACATCCAACTATTGGCACGACATTTATCAAAGATATTACAAAACAAATCTATTAAATAATTTATTTATAGAACGGTTTTGGCATGTTTGTTCGGGATATCATAGTATTTTGTTGTTGCAAAATAGTCAGACTTAATCCCAAATATATCCCTAATTTACTTATGTCATCTTAAAGCAATATTAATTTTCATATATAGCATTTCCAGATTAAATGAAACGTCTTGCAATTGAAATGAAACTTTTTGCAGCGGAAATGAAAACTTTTGCAGTGGAAATGGAACTTTTTGCAGTGGAAATGAAACATTTTGCATTTGAAGTGAAACCTTTTGCAACAGAAATGAATCTTTTTGCGAATCAAATGAAACTTTTAGATTTATGAAAAGAAACATAAGAAAACACTTTTATTTTTAGTAGCTTTAAAATAAATCAACTTATTATTCCTAATATATAGTTAAAGAGACATTGTTATTGATTAGGATATTATTGCTTTTCTGGCAACAGACTTAAACGCTATATCAGTGTAGCGTAAATCTGAAATCGAATCTGGGAGTCATAGCTTATCTAAATTTCACAGAGATATTTCTGTAAGTGATGACTACATATTGAATTTTTCACATGATAGCAGAATAATCTGAACTGTAGAAATGTAGAGTCGGATTAGCGACTTCCAAAACAATTTACAATATGATATGGAACCGATTACTTTAAATATATAACATAAGGGATGTACATATGTTCAGTTGCATATTTACTAGTTTTAATAAGCGTTCGAGCCAGCATCTGTGACTTTAGGACCACACCTACATCCGTATCCGGATTACATCCTATAGCAGACAGATTAATGGAATCTAAACACAGGTTTTTTTTCCAAAATTATATATATTATTGATGAAATTGTTAAAAATTAAATCTGCTAAAAGAAACCCCAAATATCAACCAGTTACTTTTAATCATATTCATAATACAACCTGCCAAATCAGAGATTTATATCCTTATTAGTGGCCAATGACTGATCAAATGCGTGTGCCTTTACTGCAACGTCAAGAGGTATCCAATTATTAGAATTAATTACTGCATTAATTTCACTCAAAATTCAATCTATATCAGCGAGGTTTTTGTAGTGGACTTTCAGCAGTAATAAAAAGATTTGTTCAGCGTAATCAAACTGACACAATTTACACTGATTTTAGTGAGGCTTTTGATAGGGTCAACCATGAAATCTTATATATATTAATTAAATTATGTGGGCTTCAACACAAACTTAGCCAAATGGATATCATCTTATTTACAAGACCATAACTAGTTTTGTTTGAAGGGTATCTATCTTTCGATTAACGTTCCAATTAAACAATTGAACAATTAAACAATTGAACAATTAAAAGGATGCCAATGGGATCGTGTTTAATGTATATTTTTAGGAACCTAATATAAGTTGAAAACTTTCACCTTTCCTCAAATTTGCCGGTTTTCATTGTTTAGGCTTATTGATGTTTTTCTGGTTATGTGGTTTATTGTTGTATTCCTTTCAATACATTAATTTAAAGAGCACAATATTTATGATGAATGAAGGAATTTTTGCATATATTCTTTTATAAATATTTTTTATTTAGTAATTTCTAAATAAAAATAAAAAATCACAGCAAAAATATCAATGTAGATTCACGAAACGGTCTCTTTCAAGTGTCTCAAATGCCCTGGCTACATGACTTTAATTTAACTATCAAAACTAAGGTGCCATCGGTTTATAAATGTTAAGGACACCATAAAGTATGTAAAAGAGTAGAAATCTTTGTCGGTTAATTTATGTCCGTTACGATAGAAGTCGTCTTTGAAACTTTTTACAGACTTTTATATTATTCTTAGAATTATAGAAGTTGATGTATATATCCTCTTTTAGATATAGCTGCCATAAAATATTATCTCCTAATATTCTTCGACCAAATGTGTGGGATTTGATGATTTCAGTACAATTAAATCTAGTTATTTAATACTGGTTTCGCACATATAGCCTGCCGATTCGAGGCATTTTGAAGGATTCAAATGCATTTTCAAAAAAATGGAACAAGTCGTATTTATAATTTATTTCCTATTTACCAGTACCTCATTATATTCGTTATATCATTAGTTTTATTTAATTTTGTCGACCACATTCTAGATCAGGGTTAAAACCTGTAAATCGCAATTAATGCGCATTATTTAGGTTAATCTATGAACCTTTATACAATATTCCTAGGTTTAATATCCCATTAAAAATCCATCCTCCCGCATGCTTTTGTTACAATTTCTACTGAATGAATTGTAATTTAACATTTCAAGTTTTCAGTGTTGTGAAATCTATACCGTCAATAACGGTTAACTGAAATTCCCATTAGACATAGCCGCAATTCAAAATTATTTTAAGAGATTGAGTGTTTTGTTGCTTTGAGAATTATTTTGTAATCAAAATTGAAATGGCATGGCAACCATATAACGGCAAATATAGAAAAACATGCAAAATGTCCGCGATTATTTCGGAATTTTTTCAATATAAATTTTCAATTACAATGGCATCCTGAAACAATTCTACACAAAATTCTATATCAAAAACATATTTCGATTTTTTTCAGTTTCACGACTTTTCTAGAGGCTTTTTCACAAAATTTTCTTTTGTATAACCTTTCTACTGTAATTACAAATAACCGGAATAAAATTTTAGTCAAATTGGCCCAGCTGTTCTCAATAGATGTGTTACTATACTTTTTTACACTATTTTTATACATATAGATTTAAAAAGTAGGCGGGGCCAGTTCTTCTGACCCCAAATAGATACTTAGGGCTGAAGGAAGAGTCAACAGTACCTCGTATACTAACTTTCAAACAGAATCATCATTATTTTGTCAAATATTATAGCGTAAATGTCGGCGTTGTCAATTTTCCTTTTTATAAAAACATATCACGGAGTAGGACAAAATTTGTACGAACCACATTTAATTTTTTAAAATGTATTGTAATAAAATGTCAATTAAATTGATATTATACCACCAAGTAAGAGCATAAATCTCATAGTAATTACTCCAAGACTTTGCATATGGTCAACATAATCAATTTGATCACTTTAACAAAAAGTTTTGGTTTATGTATTTCACTATATTCGCCTTTGTTACAAGTTAGTTAGAAAATTGAAACATTAAAAAAATATTATTTTTAAACAAACTTTTTAGATAATTGAAATAGGAAAAGAAATTTTCAAGAAAAAATTGAGAGGCTTAACCTTTTCATTCACTTTGCCATGACGATAGCCTCTAGACAATTTTACTCAATCTAGCCATAGAAAACGTAATATCCTCATCCAAAACTAATCGATATTCGCACAAAGCAATTCATTGTTTTTTTGTTTAATTTTCCACTTTTATTTCTTCAGGAAAGAATTTCAAATTTCAGGCGAACTTTTTCAACAAGTTCGACGTGGGCCAAAGCATTTCCTTCAAGACTTAGAATCAAGTCCAATGGAGAAATTTTTAGGCAATAGAGCAGATAACTTTTTACAAAGCCTTTCCGATAAGGCACCCTTGTACAACAGTGCTCGATTTGAATTCAGTCAAGACCCTGAAAGGGAACCTTAAAATTTTGATGGCACGTGGGCGGCTACCTCGCCTCTTCGATTAGATTTTTGTCTGCTGCATGATAAATAAATTGGATTTTCCAATCTATTATCTCATGCCCAAATGATTTGTTAAATACATACCATAATGCTAGCCGATGGCACGTGAAATTTTATAAGTTCTAAACACTCGTCTTCATTATACTGGCTAGGATTGACACATAATTTCAAGATGTATCCACTTCCAACTTTCCGTTTCAATTCCAAAGGAGAACCAGTCAATTGCAGGCGACCATTTGACAAAATATTTATGGTGTCTCCCAGAACTTCTGCTTCCTCCATGTGATGAGTAGTTATTAGAATTGCCTTGGTTTTACGTAGCTCCAACAGAATATCCCACAGTTCTCGCCGAGACTGAATATCCAAACCTGAAGATGGTTCATCCAATACCACAATTCTACCAAAAATAACGGAATAAAATTATTACATAGAAAGTTTGGTATAATAGAAATAATTACTTGGTGTCTCCTGCAATAGCAATACCCAGTGAAAGGCGGCGTTTCATACCACCCGAAAGACTTTTACCATATTCATTAGCTTTTTCTTTAAGATTTAGTTCTTTCAATAATTTGTTAGCTAATGTTTGAGCCTCCTGATGTCCCAAACCTCTTAGCTAAAAAACGATTATGTTGTAAATTTTTTACGCCAATCATACTGGTGTTTTTTAACGTTTGTGCTTACCTTCGCAAAGAAAATCAAATGTTCCTTACACGTCATATACTGCATGTAAATACTGTTCTGTGGGCAGTATCCGATTAAATGTCTATAACATGAAACATCACGTTCACTGCAAACCGAAATTCTCCCGCCATCCTTTGTCACCAAACCTAAAGCAAAAACAAATAAAATATAATAGAAATTAGCTTATAATCAGCAGAATCGTAAAAAGAAACATTTAGCTGACGCATAAGCGTCCATTGTGTGTTTTTTTTTTTTTGGATCGTATTATGCAGAATGTTGTTATTATACAGACGCAGTTTTAGTCATATAATAATTCATTCATTGTTTGAATTTACAGATGCATTCATTTGTAGTTTCTATATATTCAAAATGTTAAATAAAATTCAATGTATCACCTTTTTACTTACCCATTATCATATTAATGGTTGTGGTTTTTCCTGCACCATTATGACCTAATAAAACTGTTATTTGTCTATTTTTAATAGTCATATTTAAACGATCGGCTATTACAATTTTGCGCCCACTAGCATTGAATTGCTTTTGCAAATTTTGTATTATAATGGCGTCTGAACAATTGGAGCTTGTAATATATTCGTTGAATTCAGCTTTCTTCCAAAATTTTTTCTACAAGTTAAATAAAGAGTGTTAATACATAAAGTAATTGCTAATGCACAAACACAAATACCTCTAAAAAGAACAAGTATGATTTTTTTATGCCACCTGGGCCAGGAAAAATATGAGCTAAATATATATATAATAGTGAGTAGACGATTGTCTGCGCTACAAGTATTATATAGATTTGACATATGCTGAACGAAGAAGCAGTTATTTTTTTATGTAGATTAAAGATTTCAAATTTTTCATCTGTATAAAAAATTATGATGTATTAAAAAACAAAACAAATTTATAATTGATTTTAAAATATGTATGCCTTACATTTATTTCCTACGATTTGAAAGGTATTCCAAGCTTCTGTGAAGGCATTCAGAGTAAACAAATATACGTCAGCTCTACCTACGCTATTTGATATAAATTTAAATGCTAATGGTGCGATTAATAGAGGAAAACCAAATGTTTTGGCGTAGAAAACTGTAAAAAAAAATAATTTTCATAAGTTTTTTAAATATTTGTGGTCATTGTTTGCATTTACCTGTATTGAAAAATACAGATATCAAATACGTATAGGACATCATCGCAAGCATGAACAGGACGGCCAATATAAATACCAAAAATTCTGGTATTATACCTAAAGCGTTATATTTACCAGCTACAACTAATACAGATATTGAATACATCGTATATACTATTAAACGCACCACATAAAAGGAAATTCCGTTTAAATACGACAATGGGGTTGCGATAACCAAAAACTCCTAGAAAATACATTTATACATTATTTGTTACTAAAATCCAAATATCTTACTTTTAAACCGTCTTGCTTCTCCTCTACTAATGGTACAAAGAATGTGCTCTCTAATAGAATTAGAAAAAATATTGGAAAAAGGTATCCAAATGTGATTCCAGCTTCATTTTGAAAGTATCCTCCACGCATATAGGGCATTGATCCAATTTGTACTGTTATTTCCGGCTGCATATTTGTTATTTGCGATATGTAATCCAAATCAATTGAATGTTGAAGTTTTATAAAGTGTGAATATTCGCTTGATTCTGAAAATATGTAAAATTGATAGTATTCAGAAAAAAGTTGTATCAGTTCCTTGAACAATATTCACTATGTATGAAAGGAAGGCCAAGGTCTCTTCATTACATTACTTAAAATTCGGAGGAACACGTAAACATTTTTTAATCTAATAAAAAATAGGTCAATTTTCAAAAACTATTAACTTCATGCAAATGTTGCTACCCAGTTTCAACCATTGACATTTTTTTTATTACAAGCCTACAATATACCCGTTTCCATACAAACATAGTCACCTTTCTCACTATGGTAAAATGTCTGCAAGGTACAAATTGCACACATTCATAAAAATAATTTCTGCTAATGCACTATGGGCCCGATGACATGTTTTTGAGGCAATATAATTAAAAAAAACTTACAATCTGGAAAAAACCTAAAACCTCTTTTCGCCATTTCTTAACATTAAAAATTAAACAAACCTTATATTATTATTGGCGCCAAACAAAAACTGTTTGCATTATATTAACAACAAAATATGGAAAACGCGTGGAATATAATGTACATCAGGATTGTTATTAGAAATAAAAAATATTGTTAAACATTTTAAATTTTCTCCAGAACCTAATTAGACAAACATTTACAAGAAGAATTTGAGCGAAATATATATGGGAGCTGAATCGACTTCGACCAAATTTGTCAAAAGTATTTCTAAGCTGTATCTGATACCTCGTACCGAATATCGCTGTTATAGATTTTATATTACGACTCTGAGGGGCACAAATCTCAAATCGAATGAAAGTTATATGCGGGAGCTATATCTATATTCTTGCCGATTTGAAAGAAATTCGGCAGACGTTCTTCTCAACTAGCACTTAAAAACGAAATTTGGAAGCTGTGACTCGTCCCTGTGATTTATTGCCTCAAAAACATGCCTTTGGTCCAAAGTGCAATGTTAAAATTGTTCAACTTTGTTCTTTGTTTGTTTCATTTATTTCATGCAATTCAATATAAATAGGCCAATCTTACGTAAACTTAAGTTAAACAGAAAACTAAATACATAACAATAACTAACAACGAGTTTATTTTTATAAAAAAAATAATAGTTAGATCCTAAGATTCAACCATAAAATATGCAACACTTGTGGTGAAAAACGTCGAAAGTCAGGTATTAGGTAGGGCCTGTAATAATTCCGAGTGTTATTAACGAAAACCAATCAAGGAGTGCACTTAATCCCAGGGCGACAACATCCCAGTTTCGGCCAGCGGTGGCCAACTCAGTGTATACATTCTCGTTTTTGTTTATTTTTCTGTTTTGGGAGGAATGCCTGCTTCCAACTCTATTGGTCCGAGATTGAAAAAAAAACCGGACCATGTTGTTGTAACAGCAAAATGTACGCTCTGTTGTTTATAGACTGTTAATCCGCATCTTCTTCGATGTCCAGGTTTAGGAATTCTATTACCTTTATGGGCTGTAGCCAGATATCCTTTGTACGGTATTGGGTAAGCTTGGCTGGACAATTGAATAGATGCAGCATATTGTGCGGGTCTGTATCACACACTGGGCAGGCGTTCCGCACATCTTCGTCAATTGGTGCCCAATATGAATTGAGACGGCTGCACCATCCTGAACTTTGTTTGGCTAAAACTACCCTAGTTTGCATAGGCAGCCGACACTCCAGCTGCAAGGGGAGGGGGGTGGACTTCGAGGTTGGCATTCATACTGTAATTGTTAACTACAACTGCGACTGCATCAGTATGAATGCTATTCCGACCCGCTTGATAGGCTTTATGATCCAGAGGCTCTCTTTTATATCGCTGGACCTCTCTCTCTATCTCTAGGTCATGCAGTTCCTTCCTGACACGCCAGGGTGGGGGAGTTTTGTCCACAATATGGTGGTTAGGGTGGTTAAGGTTGCACTCGTATTCGCAAACTACAGTAGAACCGCATAGCTAACCACAGGCCGACTTCAACAAGGTCAACAAGGTTTCCTTACCCGCTCCCCAAGTGCTGCTGGCTAGCGCCTTTAGGACCTTGTTCCTACTTTTCAATTTATCACACATAGCTGTGGCTTTCGCTGACGTCTTGAACATGCTGTCGAATGTGACCCCAAGTATTTTGAGGTAGTTAGTGGTCGGATTTATGTGCCCCTCGACCTGCAAATCCAGCTGTGTTCTCATCTCCGCAGTCCATGTGGTAAATAGTATGACCGTTGATTTGGTGGCGGATATTTTCATATTCCTCGCATGGAAGAAGGCGGCAAACTCCCTGGCACATATGTCATCAACTACAGGAACCGACGCCATGATCGTACAGTCATCCGCATATGTTACTATCTCGACGCCGTTTGGAGGGTGCAGAATTCCGGAAAGGTAGAGATTAAACAGTTCCGGAGATATCACCCACCTTGGGGAACTCCCTGTATCACTCTACGGGGCTTGGACTTCTTGTTCCGGAATTCTACGTACGACTGACGTCCACACATATAATTGACTATCCAACGTTTCAAACATGACCGGAGGGTAGTATTCTCAACGCCCTCGAAGAGCGTGATATGGTTGACCGTATCAAAGGTCTTTGTTTTTTTTCGAACGTTCCCACGCCTCACATTCCCACCCTTGTCGACAGAGGGGGCGACCTCCCTTTACGTAGGGATCGCGTACACATCATGATCCGCATCATAATGGGAATTTAGTAGGGAATTAAGAACCAGCTACAAAATCTAATTCATCAGCTAGTTGTCAAATAATAAAACATGTATTTTAATTGTTTAAAAATAAAATTATTCTAGATTTAATAACTTCTAAACTCATACCAAAATCTACATTACAGTACACAGAATTAAAGTCAACACACATTTTACTAAGAGGTTCGCCCATTGAATAATTCGTGCGGTGAAAACGGTATATAAAAATTGGTAGTATCTACTAGATCTAAACGGAACATTAATTCTAATAGATGAGATTAGGAAATCTGAAGGTATATTACCATTTAATATTTTTTAGTACAAACATGGAGTTCAACATAATACGTCTGCTTTTAAGTGTAGGCAATCTAATTAATTTTAGCCTGCTAGCATAAGAAGGCAAAACAAAATCACTATTCTAATGTAAACCGCGTAAGGCAAATAGCAATTGTTTTTGCACCGATTCTATTTTATCTGAGTATATTGCATATTGAGGATCCCATACAACAGAACCGTATTCTAATATAGGTCTGACAAGAGACGTAAATAACTGTTTTGTTATTTATGGATCAGAAAATTCTGTGGCCCACCCTTTAACAAAACCTAAAACACCATTTGCTTTATTTACCATTGTTATAACATGGCTATCAAAATTTAATTTTGGATCCATCAAGAGGCCAAGATCGACAAATGAATCTACAGTTGATAATGAATGACCGTCAATATTATATTGCAATATCAGAGAAAAAGATCTGGATACAATTTAACCTGCACCATTGAAAAAGGCTATCAAAATCGTTTTGAAGTAAACTGGCTTGTTTATCACAATTATGCAGTAATTAATTGTTCGAACAATTTTGGAATGGCACTTAATTTTGCAATTCTTCTATAATTTGACACATTAGTAAGACTACCAGACTTATGTAAAGGGACAATGTACTGCCCAACTATTTTTGGAATTGAACATTTTGAATGAAAAACTATTCAAATTTGTATAAAATTTTTAAAAATGCATATCTTAACAACCTCTGATAGGCGTCGTAGAAGAAAACATGCACAAATCAACAAATTTAAAATCATTAAAAATGCATCTACCTGTATTCTTTTAGCCATGATGCAATGAAGACAAGGTAGGCTAACTTGAAAAAAATTGCACGTCACTATTAAAACAATTGCAACTTGTTTCATTGATTTTGAATATATAATTAAAATACGTAAAAACTGAATGAAAAGTTATACTTTTTAAAATCATGTTCTGCATATCTCTACAGATTTATTTCGCTACAAAATTTGATTTTTTTCTTGCATACTTTGAAATGAGCATTTTGAAATCAACTGAATTTGAATATTTTCTAAACAATTTCCAAAAATTGAAAATAATACACACGAATATATGAATAAAGTTCACTTCTTAAACCAAGAAAATGGCTCTGTCCTACCTTGATTTCATTGTACCATGTTTCTACCATGGAGCTTTATCAGAAATCTGTTCAAATAAAAAATAAATTTCCCGGTTATCAAGATTCATGGCTGACTCAAAATTATTGTTCACAAAATTGAACAGGGATAATTATGAGTTGTGGAATCGCATAGCAATTTATGGAAATGCAAAAGCAGTTTGGGATACGCTCAAAACATATCATGAGAAATCTTCATTGAGTAATAACAAAAATGAAGTTGATGTTCTCGAAATTACAATCATTGGGTGAAAACATGTCTGAGTAATAGACTATATCAACGATTCTAAGAAGCCTGCTACATATGAGAGATCTCACTATGAGTGTGGTCGAATATAAACTACTGAAATAGTATGAAACGTTAAGGAAAAGCAAGCTAGTGAAGACTCTGTCTTAAGGACAACAAATAAAAAAATCAACATCCAAATCACAAAAAGGAAATTAATTGCCACCATTTCCATGGAGTTGGACACATTCGTAAGAATTGCTGGAAATTAAAAAAAAAATACAGGCAGAATACATGTTGGAGAATACATGTGGAGAATACATGTTTATTATCTACCAAATGATTGTCAATTAAGTGCTACACTTTTACATTTTCTGGCAGTATGTGTAGAAAACAGGACGGCACAGATGTCGAAATTGGTGTGGCAGACTTGATTAATAATTTGTATCAACCACGTTGCAAACGACCAGAGAGGAAAACGTTGTTATGTGCCCGATGGATCATTGTCAGCATTTGGACACAGAGATATAAATGCGGTGAAATTGATGCAGTTTGGTAAGGTGGAGAAAAATGTTAACATTTTGAATTGCGCCATAAAGAAAAATTGCGAGGTATGTAGAAAGTGTAAACTAACAAAACACCATTCCCAAAAACATCAAATT